TAGACGCATACCCTCAAATGATTAAAGGACTTAGAGTTCATGAATTTTTAAAATAATTTAATATGATGAAATACATGAGTTACTTTTAAAATAGTTTAAAATTTTTGCAATTTATAAAAGTTATTTTTTTGTTTAATTTTCTAAGGTATCAAACATAATGTCTTAATGGAGTTTCCTTTCTTGCTGCTATTAGAATTCTAGGTACCATAGTTATTAACTTTGAGGGGTAGGACTAGGGTAAGTGCAAAGGGATTGGGCCAATAGCAAGCAAAAGCATTTCCTCTAAGAAAGTTCCCTGGAGATGATGGTACTTTGCTTCAAAATCCTAATTGATTGTACTATCAGAGAGAGATAAAGAGAGAGAGAGAGAGAGAGAGAGAGAGAGAGAGAGAGAGAGAGAGAGAGACAGAGAGAGAGACAGAGACAGAGAGAGACAGAGACACAGAGAGACAGACGAGACAGAGACAGAAAGACAAAGAGAGAGAGAGATTTTGCAAAAACTCCATACATTATTCCTATTGGCCACAGATACTTAAATTATTATATGTTATGCTAAGTCCTTGGTCCAAGATATAGTACATATGACAAATGAATTCTGAAAATTGAGTTTTGTGGGTTATTCCATAAATGGGCTTGAGCAGCAACAAAAACTGTACATAGAGACAGTAGTTTCACAAAAGTACCATAATTCTCTGTTGCACATTCCAAGGCCTTGTTCTAAAGACCTATGAAATGGCATTGTGATAATTCATCTTTTCCCACAAGTGACACCTTTAACAACATAAGACTGGCCATATCATATAATCTTAAGCAACAAGGCTGTTTGCACTAGTCTGGCCTTGCTGCAGTTTTCCTGCTCTAGGCCACACTCAAAGCTAGCAACCTTTCATGTCACCTGGCATACGGGCCAGAGAAGCATTTCTAGGTATGGAATGTTACCTATAGATTCCAGATTAACAGGTACTGTATTTCGTGTTCATATGTGGTTGAGCTTGGGACAGTCTATTGTTATTATCTATGATTTAGCTTGTTTATGAAAGGGCTAGGATAATAAATTAAATATACAGGGGTCACCCCATATTATGGTTTGGATCTAAAATATCCTCTAGATATCCTGTGTTCAGAGGTGGGACCTTTGAAAAGTGATTAAATCATGGAGACACTATACTCACCAGTGGATAAGTCCACTGAGTTCACAGCTGAATATGCTATTAGGAAGTGAGTCACTGTGGGTGCTACCTATGAGGGTATATTCTTGTCCCTGGACACCTCTCCTACTCTTGCTTTGGTTCTCTTCTCTTTCTCCCTCTTATGTCTTCCTTCCTTTCATTCTCACACTCTCTGGTTCTTTTGCTCTGTTTCCAGGCGCCATGAGGTGAGCTTTCCTCTGCCATGTTTCACCCTTGGAGCCTGGCGCCCATGAACTAAAACCTCTCCTTCTTAAAATTGTAGGTGTCAGATATTTTGTGCCAGCAATGGAAAACTGACTAACAATCATTCCCTCATCCTTTAGTTTTTTAATGGTGTCACTAATTTCATCCCTTAGGAGGTGTAATGGTTAAACTTATTTGTCAACTTGATTAGCTTGGGAGCCATCCAGAAGATTAATAAAGCACAGTTCTGGGTGTACCTACATAGGTCATGGAGGGGTGACCTCTCCTCTCTGGCACTTTTAAGAGCATGTGTTGTTTGTACTTTCCCTCTCTGGGATAAATCTATTGTCTTCAAATTCATGAGTCCTATTTCTTATTGTGTCCAATCCGCAGTTAAAACTCAAACATAGCTTTTGACGAGTATGTTTTCTCCATTGTACCATAGTATATTTTATCCAGTTTTAGAGATGCCTAATATTTTGAAGACTTAATCTTTTACTGATTTTATTTCTTTTATTTTTTATTTTAAAGAGGGCAAAACAAACCATAACAAAGCTGGGATGTGAAATCCCATTTGGCCCAGCTATTCCACTTGTAGGCATATTCGCAGAAGAATTGAAAACATCATATTACAGTGATATATGTGCACCCATGTTTATAGCAGCACAATTTGTAATCGCCAGATCTTGGAAAGAACCTAAATGCCCATTAATTGAGAAATGAATATAAAAGAAGTGGTATTTTTATACAATGGAGTACTACTCAGCTATAAAGAAGGATCACAATGGGATATTACTAAGTAAATGGATGCAACTTGAGACCATATTCATTAGTGAAATAAATCAAACTCACACGTGTAAATACCGTATTGTCTCCCTAGTATAAGAAATGATTTTTTCTTTTATATGCACAGTAATCTAGTGTTTACTGCTAACTCCGAAATGAAAATCATTTAAGTATTCTGTATTAGTTTACCTTTGCTGCCAAAATAAATCACCACACATTTAGTATTTTAAGAGAATGCCAATTTATTAACTGATGGGTCTCCAGGTCAGAATCCTAGATGGGCATAGCTATCTTATGTCTCACAAAGGAATAATTAAGGTGTAGGTTAGGCTGGGCTCTTATCTGTTAGCTGCTGGGAAGAATCAGCTTCTAAGCTCATGAAAGTTGTTGGCTGAATTCTGTTGCTGGTGGTTGCAGGACTCAACTACAATATATATGGACGTGGACATCTGCTCATTACTTTCTTACTAGCATTTAAGTCCAAGACAAAATGAGAATGTACTGAGTAACCACATATATCTCTCCTCTCTTCCATAGGGTAACGTCTGAAGGGATGAAGAACCTTATGGAAGAGCACACAAACAGGATTCATGAACCATGGCATGTGAATCTAAGTAATGCTTGTTATATTACTTATCATCTGAGTTTTAAGTAAATGAGCTCCTTATGATTTTGTTTCTTCACCTATTAAATATCAGAATGTGTGGAGTTGGAAGAGATGACACTATCGTTTTCCTCTATACTTAATAATGTTGCCACGAGAATCAGAGAAATTTATCAGTGTAATGCTTTTATAAGATGAAAAGCCTTTACTTAGATAAACAGTATTAAGAGATTATAACCACAGTGCATTTTGAGAACTTGTGACAAGGAAAAAGGGACAAAGAGGAAAAGAAAAAACAAGTAGTCAATAGCAACTACTTCTAGAGTTGGGGGGGGGCGGTGTTGTCATTGTTTTCTGTTTTTGAGACAGGGTCTAACTATGCAGTTTAGGCTGGCCGTTAGCTCATTTTGTAGCCCAGGCTGGTTTTGAGTTTACAATGATACTCCTGCTTCAGCCTCCTGAGTGCTGAGACTACAGGTGTGCACCAGCACACCCAGTTACTTCAAGGAAGTTTTAATTTGCATGTTTGTTTTTATTACCTCTGGGACCATTAATGACTCACTGTAGTGTATATATAATCTGGCAGCTTATATTTTAGGTCACAGGATTTGATTAAGGATAAAGTATAAAAGAAAATATGAAGGTATTTTAATTTTCATTAGAAAATTACTGTACTAAATTTTAAGATTTCTATTCTCAAAGGTGTATGAAATATTCCAACGAGATCAAACAATCACAAGGAAGTAATATGTCAAAGTAGGATAAGCAGTTCAGAATAGAAAGGTGAGTTCACTTAATTGAAAATACATTTGAATAGAAAAATGGGTAGACACAAAAATGAAAAATCTATGCAAAAGGTATTTTAGATAATCCTTATTGTTACATTCCAGAAACTTGAGATTATAATCAAATTTAAAAAACAGTAAATCCAGCCATGCGTGGTGGCACATGCCTATAATTCCAGCACTTGGGAGGCTGAGGCAAGAGGATTGCTGCAGCTTTGAAGCCAGCTTGGGCGAAAAAGTGAATTCAAGGCCAACCTGAACTGCATAATGAAACCCTGTCTCAAAAAGACAAAAAAAAAAAAAAAAAAAAAAAAGGAAACAGAAAAACCAGTAATTCCAACATACATATATATCCATTCTTATTAGGATATATTTTGTCCTTATTAGGATAGCTTTTTTGTATGGATGTATCTACAAAGATACATGTGATGATAAATACATAAACTAAATATAAATGGAATAATCATATATATATATAATTTTACTAACATAAATGTGCCTATATTCCAACCCAGATACTGAAATTATGATGCACACTCCTTATGTTGTAACACATCATAAAGCACAATTTTGTCATCTTTTCTTGAACATTTCTAAAATTCTTATGATCAATGCCAGCATACTATTCTAAATTATGAATGTATCATGAATCCCATACCATGAGATATTCAAATCACTTATAATTCTTATTTCAATGAATACTGTTTTATAGGATCTTTCCTAAAAACCTTGAACCTACTGTCCTATCATAAATTATTTAAGACAGAATGAATTCTGACCAATGCTTTAAGCAAAGCATCCCCAAAGAGTATAACCTTTGTCTATATTTGTACATTTGCTCTGATAGATTAAAATACATATGTAAGATCTACTTCTTGAGTTCCCTTTTGTGGGGGGATTGTTTGCTCATCCTCTCTCAATCTATTTAGGGATTCTCTATTACAGGCTAATACGTTAGGTCGATTTAGCAAGGATAATGGTTTTCCAGTCTTTCTGATATATTTATAGTTTTAGAAGCTTTATAACCTCTTCTCAAAAAATGTTTCTAAAGTAATATTTTTATGTAATAATAAATTCATGATAGTTTCTAGAAAATGTACGCCACATCTGGTATATGATCTTCCTCATATCTAGAAAAACTGGCTCTGCAATTTGAGTCTAAAATGAGTCTCCTAAACATTAGTGCCAATATAAAATGTCATTAAACTTCTTGCCAAAGGCTTTACAAATTTCTACTAATTCATAATTTTGACCCTTCATAAATTCTTTGAACAGTATATTACAACTTCTGAGTGAAAAATTTATCATGTTTATTCCACGTTTTGAATTACATTGAGTTGTCCTAAATTTAATGAAGGATCAGCAACTTTCTGAAGGCTGATTCATGATTTCCAAAATTAATTTGAATGAATATTTGGATGCACAGTATGACAACATACAACTAAGAGACAGTTATCACACTTAAAGGTTTATTCATGGGTTTTACATTTTATCTCCTAAATGATTTCTTTGATTTTTAATGAACAATGTCTTTCCACTGAAGGCTTTGCCACAAGACTTCTCTTTTGTGGGAGTTCTATGCTGCACAATGAGAGTTGATTTCACACTGAAAGAATTTCCACATTCATTACTTCCATAAAGTTTCTCTACTGTATGGATCCTCTAAAGTTTAATGAGTGGTGCCTTCTGGATAAAGATTTCCCCACATTCACTGCATTTATAGGGCATTTCAATTCTAGTATATGAGGGTTGACTTTTGGTAATAAAAAAGCTTTTGCACATTCAGGGTATTTATAAGGCTTCTCTCCAGTGTGAGTTCTTTGATGTACAACAAGGTGTGCTTTATGGATAAAAATTTTCCACATTCATAAGTTTCTCCCCAGCTTGAATATTCTACCTTTTATTAAAGGCTTGCTTGTGGTGGAGAGCTTTTCCTTGTTGATTGATTTCACGTAATTTCTGTGCAGGTTTGGTTTTATCAAGTATAAAACAGAGGCATAATTTCCAATGTGACTTACACCCATTATCTTTCTTACATATCTTTTGTTTTAACTAAGAAAGCTTAAGTTATGCTGAATACCTTCTCCATGAGTAATATTTAGGGAGTCTTTGTCTTATAGAAACCAAGTCTCTGTGCACATACATGATTTTTCTGCATGTTCTGCATTCTTGGCCCCTTTGATCCTTCAGTATTTCCTTGTCTCTGAATGTAGCTCGTCACAGGGGTGGGTTGTCTTGGTTTTCCTCGTAGTTATCTATCCACCCATCAACTTGCCAGACTTCTAGAGAAAAGATATGATGAATCACCAAATTTGAAAGTCTTCCTGTTATAACATTAAGCTCTAAATATCCTGTGGTGAATTCCTATCAACATGACTTAAGCTGATGTGGATGGATCCTCTCCATGTCTCACCACCCCAACTCTTTCCTGACTGCAAATGCAAATAAATGCTAGCCCAAGTTAAAAAAATGTAATATGAAGTCTAACTCAAAATTAATAAATGTATTATGTGACAAAAATGAAGAAGAAATTTAAAGTGAGGAGGTAAACAAAAACTGAATCTTGTATGACTTTGCAGTTGAGATACTAAAGCTCTTAGCATGAATATGGAGTGAATTCCAGACTATAGGGTACAGATGTACAGATAACTGAGCCAACAGTTTAAAGTTGGAAGTCACAAAGACCATCTCTTTTTATAACATAGGAATTAGAAAGATGGCATCCATTAGATTAAAAATGGTAAGAAGAATCAGGAATTACTTAAGAAATCAGAACCCTAGCCTTGTAACTTATGTGGGAGTACAATCCCAATGCACATTTGAAATATAATCCAAATCCCCAAAGTTGATAAATTCATCTAAAAATTAGTCCTGTATTAGTGAAATTAGTGGGTCTCCCTTTCTAAATAGTTCTGCAGTGATGGTTTTATAGCTTACTGTACACAGAATTCTATGGAAAAGAACTCTCACTGAAAGGAGTTCACAGTCAAAATTATAAATTTCAAAAGGAAATGAACCACAATGAGTTGAAAGCTTATGTCCACAGAAAAGTCTATGCATGGATGTTTATAGTAGTTTTACTCATAATGGCCCCAAACTGGAAGCAACTAAGATGCCAGATGTCCTTCCATAGGTGAATGGATAAACAAAGCGGTACATCCATACAATGGAATATTATTTAGCAATAAAAAGAAATGCACTATCAAGCCATGGATAGACATGGAAGAAACTTAAATGTATATTGCTATTTGAAAGAAACCAGTCTAAAAAGGCTATAATCTGTATGATTTGAACTATATGACATTCTAGGAAAAGTAAAATTTTAGAGATAGCAAAAAAGAGCAGTGTTTGCTGGGAGGAAGGGGAGAAAGGATGAAAGGGGAAGTACAAGGAGTTTTTAAGGCAGTGAAATTATTTTGTATGACTATAATAGTGGATTTTTATGCATTTTCTGAAATACATAAAACTAAGCAACATAAAGATTAAACTTTAATGTGAAATATGGACTTTAGGTAATAATAATGTATCAACGTTCACACATAAATTATAACAAATATACTATACTAGTGTAAGATATTATCAGGGAAAATATGGAGAGGGAAAGAGAGGGGCATAAGGAAATACTTTGTACTAGCTGGTCTACCCTACTGTCAATCTAAAACTGTTGTTAAAAAGTCTTATTAATTTAGGGGATTTAGCTCAACAGTATAAGCACATGTCTAGCAAGTGCAGGGTTGTAAGTTCAATTTCTGGTACCAAAAAAAAAAAAAAACCAAAAAAAAAAAATAAACAAAAAAATAAACAAAAGCCAAACTCAGTAAAAAGTCTTATTAATTTAAAAAATGTAAAGGGATAGATATATACCCAGGAAATCCTTGTCAAAAGAAAGCTGGAATAACTACATCCATTTCAGACAATGACTTAAGAACAAGAAAGATTTTTCTGGAACAAAGAATGACATTACAAAATGATAAAATGGTCAATTCTCCAGGAAGATATAACAATCCTAAAAGTGTATGTACCTAATAACAGCACTTCAAAATACATGAGGCAAAAATGGATACATCTGAAAGAGAAACAGACAAATCCACAATTATTGTTGGAGACTTCAACACTCTTTCTCTCAATAATTGATAGAACAAGTAGACAGAAAACCAACAGGAATATAGATAAGGCGAACAGCACTATCAGCCAACTCCATCTAATTGGCATTAATTAAAAAACTGCATCCAACAACAGCAAAGTAAACATTCTTTTCAAGTACATATGAAACATTCACTAAGATAAGCCACATTCTGGATCTTCAACAAATTATAACAAACTTATAAGAAATCATATTATGTACAGTAACAGTATTAAGCCAAAAATCTGTCAGACAAAGACACTTGTAAAACCCCAAATATTTGGAAATTTAAAGATATACTTACTTCTAATCAAGTCTTAAGGGAAATTTTAAAATATTTTGAATAAAATAAAAATATGACAAAATTTTCAGACTGGGAAAACAATGTTTGGGTGGATATTTACAGAACAGAATATATTATAATAGAAATGAAGAAAGATCCAAGGGTACAATATAAAAGTGAGAATGGAAACAAACACAGTTGAAAACAGGACTGTCCTTTGAAGTGTGAATGGTTAAACAAAGTGTTGTACACTATTTGGTGAATTATTGCTCAGTGACTAAAGGAGAAACTACTTGTATATACAACAGGATGAATCTCCAGAGAATTATGCTAAGTGAAAATATCCAAACCCAAAGTTTCATACTGTTTGATCCCATCATATAATATTCTTGAAATGACATTATAGAAATGGAAAACAAATTAGTAGTTGCCAGAATTTAAGGAAAAGTTGAAGTGGGAGGGAGTGGGTATGGCTAGAAAATGACAATAAAAGGGATCCTTGTAGTGATGGAAATGTGTTATGTATATTGACTTTATCAATGTCAATTGCTTTACTGTGATTTTTACTATAGTCTCTTAAGATGTCACCACTCTGGGAAACTGGGTGAAGGGTCTCTATAGCATTTTTGACAAGTGCATGAAAACCTATAATTATATGAAAATAAAAAAGATAAATTTAAAAAATAGTAAAATATTCCAAAGAGAAGAACAACAGGGAAACAAAATAACCAAAAAAAAGCAAGAAAGAAAAGAAAAAGAGAAAAAGGAGTACAAACAGAAAAGAAATACTGATAGACCTACATTCAATATCAATAATTACATAAAATTCAGTAGTCTAAAGGAGAAAAACCACAGTCATATCACTTGAAACAAAAAAAGCATGTGCAACATTCATTCATTACTAAAACTCTCATAAAGCCAGGATTGGAAGGAAACATCCTCAACCTTTTGTTAAAAGGTCATCTATGCAGAAACCTATAAATAAAATTTTCTCAATGGTAAGAAAATGAATGCTTTCATCCTAAGATTAGTATGTTGCCCTCCCTACTCCTTGTCAACATTATATTGAAGATCCTAGGAAGTATAAGAAAGCAAGAAAAAGAGACAAGGGCATTCAGATTAGAAAGAAACTATTTGTATTCATAACTACTTGATTATTTATGTAGAAATTTACAAGCCCTTTGTAAAAGAGCTACTAGTACTAATATATGAGTTATGAAAGGTCCCAGGATACAAAAGTAATATAAAAAATCAATTGCATGTCCAAAAACTTGAATTAAGCAAAGTAAAACTGAAATATAAAATAAATATATATGGTATACACACAATTAAATTACCTTATAAGAACATAAAAAATAGAGATACATTAAAATATTAAAAGATTTGTCCATTCAACCCTGCAAAATATTACTGATATAAAATTTAAAAGACCTAAGTAAGTGGAGAGATGTACCAAATTTATGAGTTAGAAGACTCAATATTGTCAGCATATAAATGATCCACAAATTCAATGCAATCTCAAACAAAATCCTTTACAGGTTTTGTGCAAAGGTTGGAAAGCTATTTCTAAAATTTATAAGAAATACTAAGGACATAACATAGCCAAACATTATCAAAAGAAAAACAAAGTTAGAGGAATTAATAAATTTAAGCACTTAATAAAAGGGCCATCATAATTAAGACAATGCGGTACTGGCACACAGGTCGACATGTGTTTAAATAATAATCAAAATGGACTCCAAAGTAAATTAACAACAGTCTTTTCCAAAATGTTAGTGGCACAATTGGAAATGCATATACAAAAATAATATAAAGGAATACCGATCCTTACCTCACATCAAACACAAAAATAACTCATTATTAGTCATAGACTTAAGTTTATAAGAACTAAAAACATAGATCTCCTGGAAGAAAATGTGATGTTTTCGTTATCCTGGTTAGAGATTTGCTACATAGGACACAAAACGTGTAAGCATAAAAGTAAAACTTGATAAATTGAATTTTATCAAAAATAAAAATATGGTTTCCGAATTTTAAAACAAGCCATAGCCCAGAAATAGTTGGAAAACATACAGCTGCTGAGGACTTATATTGAGAATACATGAAAACTCTCACAATTGAATAACAAAGATCACAAGACATAATTAACCACAGAAGATATACAGATGGCAAATTAGCACATGACAACATGCTCAACATCACTAATTATTACAGATCTGTAAATCTGAATCACAATGCAATTCTCCTATGCCCGTACTATAAAGGTATTTTGTTGAAATAGAGAAAACAAAATAGTACGGACACACTGGAAAACAGTTTGGCAATGTCTTAGAAAGTTAAACATATGCTTACCATTTTACCAAGCAATCCCAGGCTAGATATTTACCCAAAATACATGAAAACACAGGTCCATACAAATACAATACCTGTTCAAGCTTCATTCAAAATAACCAAAACCAGGAACAATTCAAATGTGCTTTAACTGGTCCATTGATAAACAAACTGGAACACTACTCAGATAAACAAGGAACAAAGTGCTGCTACATGCCACAACATGGATGAACCTAAAAAGCATTAAAGGTAAGTGAAAGAAGTCATTTATGACTCATTTATTTGCCTCTTAAGAAAAACCTAAACTAAAAGGAAAAGAAATGATGCCTGGGATGGAGAGAGATATAAAAAGGAAGAGGTTTGGAGAGGGATGAAAATGTTCAATTATTTTGATTGTGGTAGTGGTTACATGAACCTAGCAAAGGTGAACTTCATGGTATGTTCATTAGACCTCAATAAATCTCATTTTAAAAAGACAACACAGTAACATCAGCATATATATGATAAACGAAAATACACATAGGGAATTATGAACAATATAAGCACACATATAACCAAAGAATGCATGGTGCCAAAATACCTCTCACGTGCTACTAATAAACAAAATACTAACAAACACTGAAGTCTTTAATGATATACCTATGGAGGTATTAGGGGTGGTGAGTACTGATCTTTGCAAATTACTTTAAAGTTCCCTGTAAAAAAATTAAAGTGAATTGATAGAATGACAGGAATTGGTAGATAAGATATATAAGAGATAAATACAGTGAAATGTTCATTGTTGAATCTAGGTGGAGGTATTATATGAATCTTCAATCTGTAACTTTTAAAATTTGTTCTCTATAAAACTTTTCCTAATAAAACATTCAAGAAAAAAGCTAGGTAAATAATTGCAACATAAATCCAAACTAAAGAGAAAATGAAAGGAGAAATAAACAAACAAAAGAGAAACAGAAATTAATAAGGCAAAAGTTCTTTCCATAGAAAAGTCAACACATTTGGAACAAGTTTGTTTGCACTACTACATAAAATTGGGCAGTCCTTATTACTACAGTAAGGCTATTCATGAGATGAATGGACCCTAGAAGACTTTTATTGTCTCAGAATGACCAGAGAAAGCTAGAGTGCAACCACAGATGAGAAAAATCACAGTCCATGAAAGAGATTTAATTATGGAACAATAGGGCAGAAATTAAAGTTGCTTTCTGGTTCTACTCCAGAAGTTCAGAGTGTTGTCTAGGAAAGCATCCTCATGCTCCTGTCTTCTCATGGTGCTGGATGATGGTCTTGAAGTGTCTCCCATTTCTTTGGAATTCCTCTCTGCAGATATTTCAAGCAGACTATCTTAATTTGGCATGGGCATGATACTTTGTAGAATGTTACTTGAAATACACATAACCTGGCCCCTACCAGGCTTTTTGAAGCAATTTCTAGACAGTAGGGTCCACTCATGAGTATTCTGAGAGTTCCACAGGTAATACATCTCCTGGTTAATAATCACATTTTTTTTTTTAAAAAAACTTCCATATGCATACCAGAAACAGACACCTTCCTGACAGCTTTATTTATGCCAGGTACCCTTTTAGGTGTTTTACATACAAAAAATCATTAACTTCCAATAATTACAAACTTTTATGTTTAGCTTCATTCTATAACAGGTGAAGAGAAGCAAAGTAATGTGTTCACATGACAGCTAGTGAGAGAAGTGGCCAAAATTTGAACACACGCTGTGTGGTTTCACGGACCACGCTCTTAGTCACTTGTAAGTAGATGCATAACAAACCTCCTTCAGCTGTCCAAGCCCAAAACAATCAATGTAGCATTTATCGAATGTCTTCTACTAGCCCCATAGTGGGGTAAATTAGAACAAGACACACTCTGATCGCTAAGGATGATCGCACAGAATGAATAAATAGAGGCTATATTAAAGTTGAAACATAATCAATAAAGGAAATAAAAAGAATTTAACAAATATGAAGAGTTGAAGAGCAGACAGTCAAAAAGTGAGCCAAACCTCTATTTTTCATATAGTGTAGATAAAACTGAAAATTCAAGAAATGGAGGTATAAAGGCATTTTCTAGGCCCATGGAGGTACTCACCAGACCTGAAAATACTGTAGAAAATTTAAGAAGAGGCTGCCCTTGGAAGGTGTGGCTGGGAATGCCTCTTGGATAAATTTTCATCCCATACTGTTCTGCACTCTGGAGCTGAACATGTATATACCTGTATTTTAATAGAATGCAGCTTTGAAAGTAAGGGCATTGGGACTCAGAAGAGTAGCCTTTGTCTGAGTATATTTTTCATATCTTTATGGATACCAGTGGAATGAGAACCACATGCATAATCATTATAATTCCAGGTATCACCAGATATAAGAAAGTGTGACATCAGCACATCAGAAATCACAGGCATCTCTATCAGCATCAAATATGGGACTTCATTGAGCCAGAAGGTGGACATTAAAGTGGAAGAAAACATAACCAGGAGAAGCTGCAGAGCACTGAGTCCCACAGGACAACCCAAGAGGCTCTAGACAGTGGATGCATTTGCCAAGTATCACTGGGCTCTGGAGGAGTCACCTGTATGTCTGTAGGGCCACAGCTGAAGACAACTCATGCTCTGAGATGTACATTTAATAAGCAATGCTTCTCAGCTTTCTTCAGGCTAGGGGTTACCTGGGAGCTTGTTGAAACGCAGATTCTAGCTCAGTAATTCTATGCTTCCACATAAGAGTCTACATCCAATGCCCAGGTTGCTGGTCCTTTAGGCCACACCCTAAAGAGCAAAACCATTTCAACAGGCTTCTCTGGGATGGGCCCATGGAGAGGGTACCAGGAATGGGAGAGAAAGAGGAGATCAATTATGGAGTTTATAGTTCTCCATAGCCACCCCAGAGCAAAAAAAAAAAAAAAAAAAAAAAAAAAAAAAAACAAGGAAGAAAGCAGAACTCTCCAGGACTGAAACAGATCACTGAAATATTTTACCTGGGGGTAACAGCCCCTTAAGTTTACTTCTAAATAAATAAATAAATAGGAGATAATACAGAAAACAAAAATTGAGTGGGAAGGAAGCACCAATAAGAAGAGGAATATGATAACAAGCAGTATCAAGTCAGATTTGCAAGAATCTGAGTAGAAAGAAAAAGAGAAAACAGAAACTGTATAAAAGTTTATAGTGTTTGGCCTCTAAGAGAGAGTAGAAGAAAACATGGTGTACACCCAGCCTGGCCGAGTTAAAGGTTCCTAACAAAGCTTCCTTGTCCAAAGTGACTGCAATAAATCAGACAAGATAATTTCCCCAAGGTTGAAAATGACTCCCAAATTCACACTGAGAGAACACCAACACCCAAGAAAGGAAGAAATCCCTCAAAGATCCAAGAATGGAGGGGAAAGGAATGAGGGAAGACTTGGCATGTGTCACTAGCAAATCAAAGTTAGAGATGGGATCTCACAACAAAGCTACTCTGGATGCCAGGAGAAGAACATAGATTGGAAAAGGCTGGCAGGTGGTGGCCTCATTTAGATATGACAACGGTTTGTTCACTGAGCCAGAGTCATTTCCACATGTCTTGGGGCCAAGAAAAGCTCCTGTGATCATCTCAGGGCCCAGGTCTTCACTAACAATCAGGTTCTGCTTCCTTGGCCCAACTCACCTGGCACGTGCTCACCTGGACAGCTCTTCATCTGGGTTCCTCTTTCTGCCCCCCAGGCCTCTTTTCGTCTCAAGCTGAAGACTGCATCTGATTGGGCAACTAGATACCCTGCCAGGGGAAATGACAGAGTCCTTTGTTATTAGGCTGGAGGCTCTCCAGACAGGCCTACCCCCACAGGCTAAAGATGGGACAGCCACAGTGACTGCCTCATGTACACAGCCATGCACCTAGAAGGTGACAGCACAAATATCCTGTCCAGCTTCCAAACAGACCAGGACAGTGAACCTTCCATACAAACTCACTGAGGTGTCAACACCCCTGTACTTGAAGCAGGTACTAAGGGAGACACAAGTGGGGGCATTCTACGTCACTCCGTGCAGCAGTCCCTCACCCACAGACACCAGGTGGCTGTAGTTCTCAAGCATGACATCCCTGTAGAGGTTCTTCTGAGCAGAGTCCAGCTGCTGCCACTCCTCCAGGGTGAAGTCCACAAACACATCCCTGAAGCTCAGTGATTCCTGTAATAGCACATTGCTCTTCAGCACAAAGAGATCATCGTAGGGGACCGGGACACGATATTTCATGCACACTGAGCGCTTATTCTGTGCTGTTCTGAGTCTTTTATGCATGCTAAAGAGTTAGATTCTTACCACCACCCTAGGACAAACTTGATAGACAAGGAATGTGAGATCTACAGAGTGTACTGTAACTATCCCATGTCACACAGCTTCAAAATAGGCATTAAAATCCAGGTGATCTGGCCTTATTAGCCACTTTTTAAAAAAGTACACACTTCAATAATGTGTCTTTCACTAGACACAATTTATTATAGTAATTTCCCAGTTATCTACAGGGGATATGTTCAAGAACTCTAGTATATGCCTGAATCCATGGATAGTGGAATAATATAGCAATTATACAACACAATAAAATGAGGTGAACGATACAGGCATTGTGATGCAATGTTAGACTATTACATAGAGGTTACATGAATACAAAGACTGACACTTTGGCAGTTAATCTGACAAATCAGAGAGCTACTAAGTGACTGAGTGTGTAGTTCCCCATTATCTGCAGGAAACATATTCAAGCCTCCCAGTAGATGTCTGAATCCATGGACAGTTCTGAACCCCTTTATATCCTAAATTTATGAATACATATCAACAGTGAAGTTTAATTTATAATATAGGCACCTTAAGATAGTAACAACAGGGCTAGGGATTTAGCTCAGTAGTAGAAGCACCTGCCTGAAAAGCGCAAGGTTGTGAGTTTGATACCTGGTACTAAAAAAATCATTAATAAATAAAAGTAAAAAATAATAAAATCATAACAACAATAATAAAATAGAACAACTATAATATACTGCAAGAAAATACATGTAAATGTACTCTCTTTCAGAATATCTTGTACTGCTTGCTCTTGTGATGATATGGAATGATACAGTGCCTACATAATGAAATAAAATGAGGTGAATAATACAAGTATTGTGATGTAATATTAGATGACTACATAAAGGTTACATGAACATAAAGACTATGATATTTTGATAGTTGATCTGATAAATCAGCAAGCTACTAAGTGACCGACATGTGGGTAATATATACCTTGTGGATATATACAGCATACAGGGATAACTGGTATCCAGGCATGAGGAGGCACGACTGCAAGATTTCATTGCATTACTCAAAATGGTAAGTTAAAATATGTTCATTTCTGGTATTTTCCACTTAATGTTTTCAGACCACAGTTTAAAGTGGGTAAGTAAAACCACGAAAAACAATGCTGCAGTGTGATCAGGGGCACTACTGAATACAGAACATTTAAATAACTAAAATTATTTGAAACTTCATACAAGAAATGGATAGTGTCAGCAATATATTACTACTGAAACCAAAATGTTTATATGAAAAATGACATTGACAGTTTGATAAGGGATTGTGTTTTCTGATCTTTATTATTTTCTTCTATTCCTTTTTGGTTTCATTCTGTCTTTCATTTTTAATTAAAAAAATAGAAAACCAAACCCCCTCCAAAAAAAGAAATGGACAGTGTGAGCAATATCTTGCTACTGAAATCCATTCATTCAACACATGTTTACTGAATAGAGACCAAAGTATTAAGTTTTGTGGATATAAAGATTAATAAGAAATTGCCAAGTATTTTGGCACTTGGCAGGCTGAGGCAGGAGGATCACCATGAGTTCAAGGCATCTTAAACTATTAAGCAAGAGACTGTCTCAAAAAAGCTGAAAAAATTAATAAGAAATACAGCTCCTAACACAAAAAGTTTCAGTCTAGTAAAAGGAAAACAAAATCACTTATAAAATCATATATCAGATGAAAGATAAGAAAAAAAGACTCATGTAACTAGACAGATATATAAGCCTTCATGATCTCTGAAAGAATGTATGAAAAACTAAAGGAGGAAAAGACATGGGAGCAGGTTGAGAATTATTTTTCTCCATTGTTGAACAAAGCTTTTGTTAAAAGTTTTTATAATGAGTAAAAATTGCTGCAGCACAGACTCAATTTGGTTTATTATTCTCTATTCAGAACATGGTTTTAGAATTTTGACATATCTCTATTCTTTAGTAAAAGTCATCTATAATTTTCTCTTTTGTAATACTTTTATCACACTTAGAATGAATTAGATTCCTTTTCATCTTTCATTAGCCTAAAAACATTGAACATAGAAATTATCTGGTCTTAAAAATTTTGTAAAAGTAGTAATTAGTATAGGCATAGAGCCAACTTGAAGTGTGAATACCTTTGACTCAAAAATCCAAATTCTAGGTATACCCTCCATAAACAGCTGTACCATAGAACAGATATGCAGAAAATTGTTCATGTGATACTGTTTATACCACTAAAAGAAAATTCAAAATGTACATATTCATCAATAGACAAATAACTGATATATCCACAAGAAGCTGGAATTAAACTAATCTTTACATAGTGACAAAGAATACCATTATGAATATAATCAATCAGGTGGTAAAAATGGATATGCCAGATGAAGGCATACACACACACACACACACACACACACACACGCACACACACACACACACACACACACACACATAAAATGCAGCTACATGATTATTAACAACCAATGTATTAACAATGAGTATCTCTGAGGAAGACTATGGTTACCAGGGTAAAAAGAAATAGACAACTTTTGCTACTATTTTTGTGTATGCACATTAAAATACTAAGCACAGCTTAATCATTATTTTAACTGTAGGAATAAGCAAAGTGAGTCTGAAAGTGATAAAAGGCAAATTGCAGAATAAGAATACATATATTTAAAAATACATTTAAGGAAAAAAAAGAAAAGGTCCTTTTCACTCCAAAAAAGGAGTGAAAAATTGTCTATACTTGTCTCTCCCCATCCCTGTCCATCTGTCTGTCTCTCCTAAGTCAACTGGTTGAAAAGAAAATAGAAAGAATAAAGGGAATAACTGGTTTACAGAACTTTGCTATACATATTTCCAAAAGTTGCTCAAATTGAAAGACAAAGTTGGGGTAAATTAGGAACTCACCGGGGACACTGCCATCCTGTTATGCTGGATGAGGTCTACAAAGAAGAATTAGGAAGGTTAAGATCAGTGAGTATAGCCATGAGAAAAACATTACCAGTCTTATAATAGTCATCCTTGCACCTTGGGGAGGAAACGTGCCCTGGTAGCCCAGCCAGTTCCCTTGGCACTCTGACACTTCAGTGCTTTTGACACATGGGATTTGGTTTCCCCTACTGAACAAATATACAACTTTTGTATTTAAACAAATCTCTATTTCTAGAATTCAATTCCTAGAAATTTGTCATGAACTTAAGTTCAGTGTGGTCAATCCCACCATTCAAAAATTTGAAAGCAACTAATTCCTGCAAAGGGACTGCTAAAAAAATAATGACATACAAAATTGGGCATGCTCCATAGTTTTAAAAATGGTGTGGAAATTTTAGTGTATAACATCTTTAAAAGCAAGTTTTAAAACGTGAGGGCAGTGGGGTTGGGGATTTAGCTCAGCGGCATAAGTGCCTGCTTGGCAAGCAGGCAGTCGTGAGTTCGATCCCTGGTACTGATAAAAAAGGAAAAAAAATAAAAGAAAAAGTGAGGGCAGTGTGTTTCCATTTATCTTAAGCACAATGTACACATCTGAAGTCAAAAAGAACATTAAAATGTTGACATCCATTAGCTTTGAATGTTGATTTCAATTTATTTTTTATTTTTATTATCTCATTTTTGGTAATGGATATTAATTACCTGCAAAATAAAACTGTAAATTGATAAAAATTCATGTATTATCATACTGAGTTGAGGTTAAAAAAAAAAGACCCTCAGCAAATTGTTGATGAGAAGGATCTCTTGATGTGGTTCAGGGTAAGGAGACTAAGCAGGGCTGAGGGAAAGGTGAGTTGGGGGCAGGTGAGTCACAGCCCAGCACTGTCAGTTTTATGTGGAGCTGGAAACCACTGTACTTGGTTTCCACTCCTTATTGGGCTTCTTATTACCTTGTCCCTGAGTCATCATTGCTTCTTTTTCTACTGTTTGCTTTGCTTGTCACACTCTTACTTGTTCAGTGGTTATAAAAACAAAGTTTCAGCAAGAAGGTTCAGCAGAAGAACCATTTAAACCATAGCAATGACCACAGGAGCATCAGGACAACAGAAATTGGTTCTATGGAGCTTAACAAAGCACATTCTCAGGCCCAGTTGTAGACAGCATCAAAAGGAGGGAACAGCTAGATGACAGCAAACCTTGGGATTACTCTGTAATTCCAAAGTCTAAGACTGTAAAATATGACTTTCTGCAATTTGATCAGGATAGAGGGAGATCCAGCATGTGCTCTGGAGACACATGTAATGTTGATGCAAAGGACTAACTGAAATCCAGAAAGACCACTGGCAAGAGAAGGGAGTATGATCCGGTGCACTAACATGGATTGGGAGAGGAGAGAGTGCTCTGAGGCTGGATGTGGCCCTTCCTGCCACTGTGGGATGCAGCTGGGCCATCTGTGTCTCCATCCACCTGACACTTTCACCTCTCTGTCCTAACACAGGAATCAAACGGCCCACTGGCACATAGTCCTTTCAGGTGCCTACAATTCAGCTTGTTCTGTCTCTCAGCGAACAGGAGGGACTGCTATCCTGTGAGATTTCTGTTTCTGCCCCGAGGATCTGGGCTGTGGGATAAGCCTCCTCCCATATGCCTCAGAGAAGCTCTCTTGTTCCCAGAGTCAAAGGACTGAAAGGCAAGTTTGGCTCACCTCTGGCCATTGTTGCAGCAACAGATCTCTGCATTCCACCCAGAGAACTCACCTCTGTGGCCACAGCCTGGGGGCTTCTGAAGATAACAGAGCAAACTGGGGTGGAGGTATGCTGGAATCTGGTTGAACAGTGATCTCAGGTATGCACTTTACCCTGGTAACACCAAAAACCACAGAAGTCTCCATTAGCAACCCTTGAGGGGCAAAGCTGAGTAACCCCTAAAAGGTTTTATTCAACAAAATGTACTGCGCCTCATTTTAGTTTCAAGAGTTTTTACTCGGCTAACACCACGAGTTTAACCCTGCAGTATTAGGAGTGCTGGTCTAGAACAAAACAACAGACTGTTGTGCCGCTTATACCCATTTAAGACACAACTGAGTGCCTTCTACGTGCCTACAATTGGAAAATACATCAGTGAACAAAATATCGATTTCTCTGCTCCTTCAGAGATTACAACCTAACGAGGAGGAATCAGGCAAGAAACAAAAGAACATGGTAAATAACAGAGTACATTATAAAAGAATAAGTGCCACGCGGAAAAAAAATGATCTGTCGGATTTGTTACCTACGTAATCTGGGACAGCTGTCAACCACTCTGTTCTTTCCTTTCTGTCTGCAGTGAAGCTAAACGCAGCACTACCGCAACAGACTTCCCTGAAGATAACCGGGAAACACCTACCTCAGCGCCTGGCCTCTACCTCACACCAGACAAGCAGTCGCTTAAAACTCTATACCTCAACCGGTTTACCACTGCCAGATCCGCGAGCTTTGACCTGAGCACTCACTCCATGGCCCCTGTCACTCGAACCGACAGGAGCACCCACCCACGACTTCTTGGCCGGGCCAGCCCTCCCCACAAAACCCGCCACACCACCCTTTCTCTTACTTCTCTGTCAATTCCCGAAAGATCAACAGCAGGTAACAGCAACCTATGCTATCAGGGTCCGGCCTCCCCGGTCTTTAAAGCACATCCGCTTCCCATCACCCCTAGGTACTGGACGGACCGAGTGGCGCCTGCGCAGCAGCGGTGGAGAGGGACGTACCATTACCAGTAGGCAATGCGAGTTCTAACAAGGGTTCTGGCTTTTACAGTATTGCACTGAGGTAAAAAGGAGCCATAAGAGTGTACACAGTTTTCCGAGGAGAGTCGTACTAAAGGCCAAGGAGAGTGACACTAAGGTGACCAGAGAAAAACTAGCGCCCTATAGCTCCCATCTGGCCTGCATGCCCAAGCTCCCAAACTGAAACCCCCTGTCCCAACTGTGGTCCGTCTCCCAAGCCACGCCCCCGGCCCTTAAGCTTCAGAGGATTAGAAAAGGGGAGTTTTACCTCATCTACTTCAACCCGGGAGTCAGGGAGGAGCCTTTTAGGGACCTTTTAGGCAGGGACGGGGTGGGGCCTGATTCAGCCTCTGAGTCCAGAGACCAAGGGTTCAGGCCTGGGCAGGAAGACACGTGGGGGAGTAGCTTTGGAGCTGAGCTACAGGACTAGGATCTTCCTCAAAAGAGGGAAGAATCCCTGGTGCCTGATTCTCTTCCAGTAGGTGGAGGGGCCCTGGCACAAATCGGGTTTCTAGCCTTGTAAAAAATGCATTGGAAAGTAGCAGAGAGCTGTTGTCCTGAGGCTGCCAGCAAGTGGTAATGTGGCCTTGAGGGAAGTTTTCTATTGTATGTCAGTCTGGAAGAAAGTAGCTAAGTGTGTCCTCTGTGCTTGCTGTGCCTCCTTGGTGACAAGAAGGTCTCCTTGGGTCAGGAATAGGAAAGTCAGCACAGGTACATAGCGGTACTCTCTGTACCACCTGGAGCATGTGTCAAGCACTTTTCACAGGTGCATATGTGAAAGATGATTGTGGAATCTATTAGACATTTAATTTCTGTTAGAGTATTCTGGCGCAATAGAGAAGCAAAAAGTACAAAGCAAACAGGGCTATTGAGTTGAGAAATTGGAAAGAAGCACACAACCCATGCCTTGGGATGTCTCCTTCGACTGGATACAGAGATGCAGAGGGTTATATCATCCCTGATTGGAAGTGGTGCATGGGGCTGGCATCAATGACCTATGAGGAACCTATTGGAATTCTCTGTGTGTGCAAACAGGAAGGGGAGTTGCAATTAGGGCTAAAGAAAAAAAGCAGGAAGTGGCAAGTGTTCTCACTTTGGCCTTCTGCCACATTAGACCACCACCATAATTGTACAGTAATTTATATTAGGGCAAGAACCTTTCAGTTTCCACTTGAACATGTCTCTGTCTCATTTCCCTTTCCCTCAGCAATGTACTCACATTTTCCACGTGGCCTGTCACTGCAAACCCAATACACGAATCTCCTAAGAAATGATCTTAAGTCTCAGAAAATGAACTTCTTTTCACTTGAGCAAGGAAGTCGTGAATTATTGATCACTACATTTCCTGTGCATGCAAGGTTAGAGATACCAGCCTATTTATTTATTTCTAGAGGACAGTGACCAGATAGCCACCTTTTCAGACGTAACAGTCACTAAGCAGGAAGTGGTTAATAGTGTTATTATGACAGTGTCCACAGAACAGTAGAGACACCCCAAGCTGCAGAAGCATCTGGTCTGAGGCCCTTGCTAGAGTCTCCCCATATCCTGATTCTGCAGAACAGTTGCTTGCACAGCAAGGAAAGAGACTTACAAACTATGAATTAATGGACGCATGAGTGGGTTTTTTCAGACTGCCTGGGCTGTTGGGATCCACTAATCCACAGGGAAAAATGGCATGGATCCAGTACTTAGTGATCCCTTCCTTGAGCTTTGGTCCACTCTTCTGTCCAGAGCTGTGGATCAATTGCCCTTGACAGCCTGTATTATTATTCAAAGATCCATCTCCATAGCTCCAAGCCCAGAACACCTGGTGAATGGTGCTGCTCTCCATTGTCCTCTCACATACAACATGAAACACACTGGTGAAGTTGCTGGACCTTACCATCCCAGCGATTTTCCTTTTACTGTCTCCTTAAACAATTTTGCCTGTGTGTGGCTTAACTCTTGCCCAGTTTCACCACTTACACTCAAGTGGAAATATTTTGTAATACAGAATTTAGGGTTTTTATTGAGTTGAAATGCATCTACTTTATTCCTCATGCTATATTATCAATTGTATATCTGTCCTACCATGTGTTTTCAAAATTCAAGTAGAATAGACCTGAAATCTAGGTTGGTCCCACTTTCAGAAAATGACTTGTCAGATCATATATCAGAAACTTCCAGACCTAGGCAGTCACTTCTGGTATGCATTACTGGACTTTTACTCCATTGGAGAGGTAGCAGTTCAGACAATCACTGCACAACTGGATCATGTTACCTTTCTTGCTGTGGTACAGTGTTCTGCTGAGTGACACAGTGTCATCTGTTCCTGAAGGCTTTTCCTGCAATGATTTTGATGACAGGTCATCAGGTAGTCTTCTCGTGATGTCTCAGTCTTCAAATTGTGAATTTGCAAAAAGAAAGGGGAAGTTTGTAGTATTTTTATACAATGGAGGGTGAGGGTTTGACTCTTCTTGTTTCCCAGCGTGTGCACTGGAAGGGGCTGGGATCTGGCTGTCCCTCTAGTAGTGGTGGCCCACACATGGCACTGGATCACAAGGAGGCCTTGCTTCTTGGTGAATTCTGTTCCTCTTCCCCCACGGTCTGCAAATGGCACTGCCTCACTGGAAAAGGCTGGGGTCTGGCTGTCCCCTGGCAGTGGTGGCCCATGCATGGCACTGGTTTGAAGGGAGAGCTTGCTTCTTAGTGAATTCCGATTATTTTCTCAGTGTTAGTTCATATTTCTCTAGTGGCCAGAGATGTTGAATATTTTTCATATGTTTGTTGCCATTTGTGCTTCATCTGAGAAGTATCTACGCATTTCATTTGCACATTTTATTGGTCCCTTTATTTTGGGGGATTCTACTATTTTTAAGTTATTTATATATTCTCAATGTTTGTCCTCTTCAAGGAATACCTGGCAAAATGTTTTCCTATTTTCTATATTGTTTCTTGATTCCATCGGTTGTTTCTTTTGCTGTGCAAAAGTGCTTTGATTTGGTATTATCCCATTTCTTGTTTCTTGATGGTATTTCATGTACAGTTGGAGTTCTGTTTAAAGTCCTTGCCTGTGCTTATATATTCAGGAGTTTTGCCTGATTTATCTTACAGCAGATTGTTTCCCTTTTAATATAGTATTTTGTGTCTTTCATTCACCGTAATTTTAGTTTAGTACATGGTGAGAGATACGGCTCTAGATTCAATCTTCTGCATATGTAGAGTCAGTTTTCCTAGCACTATTTAATAAAGAGATTATCTTTCCTTCAGCATGTTATTGGCCTCTTTGTCAAAGATCAGATGAATGAATGTTCTGAGAGTTGTTTCTGCATCTTCTATTCTGTTCCATTGATCCACATGTCTGTTTTTGTGTCAATACCATTCTGTTTTATCACTGTATATTTGTAATGTAACTTGAAGTCAGGTGTTGTGATGCATCCAGTTTTGCTCTTGGTCTCTGGGTCTTTTCTGATTCCATATGATTTTTTTCTAGTTTTTTGAAAAATACTGTTGGTATTTTTATTGTAACTGCATTAAATCTATATATCATTTTTGATATTATGGCCATTTTGACAATATTGTTTCTGCCTACTGAGGAACAGGGGATATATTTTCGTTTTCTGATGTCTTCTTTGATCTTTTTCAGATTACTGTAGTTTTCATTATAGAGGCTTTTTGTTTCCTTTGTTAGGTTACTTCCTAAGTGTTTAATTTTTCTTAAAGTTATTGAGAGTGATATTATATTCCTTTCCTCTTTCTTTATATTCCTCCTCTTGTTTCCTTTTCTTGTTCATTATTGGCATACAGGAATTCTATTTATTTATGTGAATTGATTTTGTATCTTATCACCTTGCTAAATTTATTTATTAGTTCTAGGAGTCTTTCGGTGGAATTTTCTTGGGTCATATACATAGACTGTTATATCATCTGTTAATAAGGACAGTTACATTTCTTCCTTTCCTACTTGGTTTCCTTTTATTTTTAAATTTTTTTTAATTTTAAAGAGATTAAGATGAAAGAGGACATAACAAAGCAGATTAGAACAGAACAATTTAAGCAACACAATATTTCACCACAAGACAATCCAATATAACAATAGCTATCATAATGTCTCTTTCTTTGAAATAGTTGAGCATACCTTCATATACAACAGTATCAAACATAACAAAATAGTACAAAACCATTCAAGAGAGTGAAGGTATTACAGGGCATTCAGAATCAAATAACAGAAAATGAACAATGACTGTATATTATCTCATTGTTCATAAAAATTGATTCTACTATCACACATAATAAAATCCAATAAAATACAACATAATAGAACCAGTGGAAACAGAAGACCAAAAGCATGGGAGGACTTCAAAGCAAGATGATATTAAATCAGCAGTGGCTATTATCAAGTCTTGTTTTATTCAAAATAGCTGTTTATACCGTCACAGATAATAAAATCAAACAAACCAGGATAAAACCATTCCAACTAATGAATGAAAACATTATAAGGCTTCAAGGAAATGTAACGGGGAATCATGATTACCATAAATTCTTATGTACTCTTACCATTTTTTACACTAGGGAGACTATACAGCATTTATACATGTGAGTCTGATGTATTTCACTTCTGAGTGTGGTCTCAAGTTGCATCTATTTACTTATAACTATCTCAATTTGATCATTCTTTATAGCTGAGTAGTACTCCATTGTATAAAAATACTACCACTTTTAAAAAATCCATTCCTCAGTTGATGGACATGTAGGTTGTTTCCAAGATCTGGCGATTACAAATTGTGCTTCTATAAACATGGATGCACATGTATCACTGTGGTATGATGCTTTCAGTTCTTCTGGGAATATGCCTAAAAGTGGAATAGCTGGGTCAAATGGGACTTCCCATCCCAATTTTTGAAGAATCTCCAGACTGACCTCCACAGTGACTGCACCAGTCTACACTCCCACCCACAGTGCAGGAGAGTTCCTTTTTCCACACAGCCTCTCCAGCATTTGTTGGTAGTTTTCTTGATCCTGGCCATTCTTTCAGGAGTGAGATGGA